ACGATTACGACTGTCGATTTTCATCTATTTTGCTCCACATCCTCACAAGTAGTCACATCCCTCACGTGACTGGAAAACCCATCTACCTCAGAATCTACCAGAATGCAAGTTGATCCGTGGATGTCCCCAAATCAAATGCGTCCCACGGGCGCCCGCGTCATGCGTTGTTCGTCATGTGTGCGTCTTTCCCCAACCTCTCCAAGCTCTCTGCCTGGCCGGGGACCGGGAGGTTGAGAGAACCAATGCAGTCTGTTTCAGCAGCTTGGTACACGTCATAAGAAACACGTCATGCCGTCATGCTTGGTATATTGCATCATACACATCCAATGAGAAAGGCCACACACCCGAGGCACTTAATGAATATATTCCTCATTCTGTGTTGTTCACACTTTTCTGCAGGATTGGATTTGTTGATGATCTCAAAGCCTTCTTTCAACTTCTTTCTTAAAGCGTCAAAGAACAAGTCTGAACCAGGCAGATCCGAGAGGGTACCATGTCTGAAGGCAGCCTTCGTTTCGCTGCACCAGGCAGTCTGAAAACTGCTTGCCCTGCACCGAGCCCCATCGAACGGGTGGCACCTCTGTGTCGCATCGCCACCCATGAGAACATCCGACGACGGGCCGTGTCGATCAAAGAAGCGACGCAACGACTCCAGCGTTATTTTTTCCGACGAACAGACACGACGCAACGATGAAGAAGAATCACTATATAGGAACATATTGATTTGTGTATAACATTCAGCTAAGGGCGTAGCTGAATACCAGGCTTGATGTTAGTGTCAGTGTTATTCACTTCAGGTTACTTCAAGTGCATTTTGTGGGTTCATGTCAGGTAGGTCTGGTCCATGGTCTACTCAGGGTAGGTAGGTGTTGAATAGTCAGTAGCTGTGAAGGACGCCCAAGTGGTCTGTGAGTGACTCCACTGCAAATTGATACAATCATGTTGAGCCAACCTAAGATCGAATGCAAGCAGTTTCCGGCAGCTCAGACCTGGAGAGACTCGGCAGCATGTGAAAACTCGCCCACCTGAAATGAGAACCACCTAGAGAAAAGTGGAAAGGGGCCAAGTGATTCGCATCCCCTCTTAAAGTTTTTGGAGAGTCTTGCAGCTTAGGAGGCTTTTATCCTTAGCCCTGGAATCCTCTCATCGAGCATAGAATCTGTTGGAGAGCATGTACTGGATCTTTTGGTTTGAATAGTAGACTCTTCGGAGTAATGATCTTTCTTGGTTTCTCATCTTTTATACCACAAGCCGGCACCTGTTGTTTCAAGCAAACAACGCACAAGCAATTTCTCCGATCCTCAATATATATATATATATATATATACATATTATATTAATATATATATAGAGAGAGAGATCCTTCGTATTGCAGCACATATTGAAATCGCTTGGTTTCATGCACATTCATCACTCGCGCAGAAATGGCATGGCGCAGTCTGTCAGCTCTACAGAAATGATTCGGGTTACCCCCTTAAACCTTAAATCCAGTTCAAGCGCATCTCTAGCATCAGAACTCTTTGATCTATTTATTGCTACAGGGTCTCTCACACCGTGTGAGTCTCGGTCTGCTTCCTCATCCCGCCTCCACCCTTGGCCTTGGCTTGTCTCACTTTCACCTGTGCAGTGTTGGTGTCGGTTTGGGCCGTGCCACGTGGAGATGTGTTACATGTTCTGTTCTGTTCTCCATGTGGCCATGCTCTGTTTCATGGGGCCATGTTCCGTTAATTGATCTTGGTGTCATGTTCTGTTCCATGTGGCTGCGGGGAACTAGGCACCAAAGATACCGGAAGCTTCTACCTGGTGTCGGGCCAGTGCGTGTCCTGCGGACGGGTCAGGCTCCAGGTTTTAGACCTGTCTGCAAGATCAGCGATTCCAGTGGCCAAAGGAGCGCGATTTCGCTGGCCGATGGGCAAACATCAGCACCAACTAGCCCATTCTCGGTAGCGCTGCAAGCGACGTTGCTCAAACTTCCACGGCTGGAAGTATGGAGAGCCGGCCGCTGTGGTTTACTTACATGAAATTACATGGGATGTTCTTCTCGGTGTCTTCGGTTCTGCGACCTAGAAGGAAGCCATCTGATTCTTTATTACACTCCTCCAATAAAACCGCACCAGCTTCCGTGCTGTGATGTTGCAGGTGAGTATGTCGTGAACCACCTGCGAGGAGTGGCCAGACATGGCTGTGCCAAGACTGAAAAAACTATAAAAAGCTGTGCATAGACATTCACATCACCTTCGTCCAAGAAACGCGCGGCCCCAAACCAGGTGAGTTCCGACCAGGGGCAAACGATGGGCCCCACGTGGATGGCGCACCCGAGACTAGCCACGAACTTGGCAGCTGGGCAGCTCGCTAAGAATGAGACCTACATAAACCCTAGGGCTCCTGGCCCATCTCAGGTGGTTAGACCGTAGTTAGACCCCCCTGGCACCCCCAACCATCTTCGAAACAAAGGTGGGCCAGCCCAAACGGGAAAATGACTGAAGACTTCGTTTTCGCTTCACACCGGTCTCCACCGGACACCATGGCTCCGTGAAGCCACACCGGGACGAACGCACGAAGAGTTGGTCACCGGAGAATGACCACTTCGACTCGCGTCTAAAGCGGGGTCCTTCCGACCGGGGGATGTTTGGCCTCCGAACCAATGCAACCTCCCCAATCCATTCAGGTCTGTGTGTTCAAGACATGCCCCACAAACAAGGAAGGCCCAAGCTGCCGTCATGTATGGTACCGTGCGACCATGGGTGTGTAGCTCGGGAGATCTCCCAGGTTTGGTCTCCCGAAAAGATATGTCTCATGGAAATTGACATGGTCTCCAAGCCCCGCACCTCCACCGTCTTCCCGTGGATCTCCACCACCTCCTCCATGACCTCTTAGCAAATGGCGAATGGTTCGCGCAGAACAGAAGCGAAGCGAGAGGCGGCCGGTCTAGTGGTCCCAAAGAAGAGGCGTCTTGAAACCAAAGATCCGTTCGAAACCATGTTCCATGCTCAGTCAACATCCTCCATCAACTCTACTCTGCTTTGGGGATCGGGATCTGAGTCATTTTCCCGACTCAACAGGCTGGAGAACCCCTACACCCAAATGAATTTGTCTAGATCTTCGTTTCTGTGCCATGCTGTGCACGTGTTCGAAAACGAAAGAGTCCACGAGTCTAGGAAATCAGGCTCTGTAAAAAAGGTAAGTATATATAATATATGATGTGTGTCTTTTTCTAGGGAGACCCTGGGTGTGGCTGGGTAGACTGGTCCTCTTTTCCCGAACCTTCCAAAAAGTCGGAACGTCGGAACGCCTGAGAGGTCGGAACCTCGCCCAAAAACACCGGTGCACCGAACTGGCACCGTCCGTCGCCGCCTCGCCTTCTCGCGCACGCCGTGCTGTTGGAACTCCACAAAGCCGAAGCCCTAAAAGCGACCGGGACGGGCCGTTTCTTCCGCCACACGGGTGAAACCACGGGTGAAACCGTTGAGGAAGGAACCAACAATTTGTCATCACCTGTTGACTGAAGACCTTCGGAGGTGGTTCCTGAGTCGTGACCTTGTCGAATCGCTCAGGTTGAAGGTTTGGTATCGCAAGATGAAACCACGCAACTTCCACTATATAAGTTTCATTGGAAACAAAATCTGCAGTTAGGCTCAGGGACCTTTGTAGCTACCGTTGGGCACAGGCGCCTGAGCAGGGTCAAAGGATTTATATAAAACGAAAGACTTGTCATCGCTGAACCGCTTCAATTCGGAAAGCATCCGAAAACCATGCCGAATGACGTCCATTCGGCCCGGACATCGGAACCAACCGACCGACGAAAACCAGTGAAACTCGAGAGGTCGGCGAGGATGAACTCGTTTGACCCCTTCGTTGGAACACCGGGGAAGGTATCGCCAATGAATGGCCGGGTTTAGATACCTGATGTGCAGATGTGAGAGATGTGAGGGACGTAAAGGTCACTCAAACGCTCAAGAGTTTGGACAAATCATCAAACTCTGGGCATGCTGCGCATGACAAGCTGATCCTATAGGAGCACCTTTTTGGACTGCGGAGTTTTGACCGGTCAGAAAGCGGAAGGCTCATGACTTGAAGGACGATGAATGCAAATTGCAAACATTGAACTCTGGCGCAAGTTGCTTGGCAAGGTCACACCTTCCAAGCTCTGGTTGAACGTATTGCCGAAGAGCAAAGTCTGCAGGCTGCTTGGCAAGGTGGCACCTTCCAATCTGTGGTTGAAGTTGTGGCCGAAGGTCAAGCTCTGCAGACTGCTTGGCAAGCTGACACCTTCTAAGCTCTGGCTCAAGGTGGCACCTTTCAAGCTCTGGTCGAAGCATCTGCCGAAGATCAAAGTTTGCAGGCTGCTTGGCAAGGTGGCACCTTTCAAGCTCTGGTCGAAGCATCTGCCGAAGAGCAAAGTCTGCAGGCTGCTTGGCAAGGTGACACCTTCCAATCTCTGGTTGAAGTTGTGGCCGAAGGTCAAAGTTTGCAGACTGCATGGCAAGCTGACACCTTCCAGGCTTTGGTTGACGCAGTAGCCGAGGGTCAAAGTCTGAAGGCTACTTAGCAAGGTCACACTTTTGAAGCTCTGCTTAACTTATTTGTTGCCAAAAGTCAAAGTCTGCAGACTGCTTGGCAAGCTGACACCTTCCAGGCTTTGGTTGAAGCAGTAGCCAAGGGTCAAAGTCTGAAGGCTACTGTTACTTGGTGAGGTGACCCCTTACAAGCTCTGGTTGAACGTAGTGCCGAAGGTCAAAGTCTGCAGGCTGCTTGGCAAAGTGACACCTTCCAAGCTCTGGTTGAAGTGGTGGCCGAAGATCAATGAGGCGATTGCATCTGTCACCCTCGACAGCGGGCTGTCTGACCGCATATGTGTAAAACCATCCTGTTACATCTAGGCGTCAAGAAGGATGCCTGCCATAGCAGGCGCAAGTCGCAAG